AAATCCTGGACTCTCCTGTCCTGTTTTTTCTGGTCCAGGAGAGCTTTGGCCGCCAGTTGGTTGCTGCAGTAGCCTTTGTAGGCGTGGAGGCGTGGTAACTGAGAGGGAAAAAGAAAATTTGTGGGGTTTTGCAATTTAAAAAAAAAAATTTCCTTTTTTTCCCAGTGAAAAATGTTGGGAAGTAAAATGTTGGTTTTTTTCCTAAATAAAAGAGTGAGGCGTTATATTGGGAAATAAAATATTAGATTTTTTCTGCCTATAAAAAAAATGGGAAATAAAATATTGGCTTTTTTCCTAATTAAAAAAATGGGAAATTAAATATTGGGTTTTTTTCCCCAATAAAAAATGATGGGGAATAAAATATCGGCTTTTTTCTCCCTATAAAAAAGGGAAATACAATATGAGCTTTTTCCCAATAAAAATATTGGGAAATAAAATATTAGCTTTTTTCCTAATTAAAAAAAAAAAAGGAAATAAAATATGAGCTTTTTCCCCAATAAAGAATGATGGGAAATAAAATATTGGCTTTTTTCTCCCTATTAAAAAATGGGAAATACAATATGAGATTTTTCCCCAATAAAAAATGATGGGGAATAAAATATTGGCTTTTTTCCTAATAAAAAAACAATGGGAAATAAAATATGAGCTTTTTCCTAATAAAAAAAATGGGAAAAAAATACTAGATTTTTTCCTAAATAAAAGAATGAGGCGTTACATTGGGAAATAAAATATGAGCTTTTTGCATAATAAAAAATGATGGGAAATAAAATATTGGCTTTTTTCTCCCTATAAAAAAATGAGGAATAAAATATTAGCGTTTTTTCCCCAATAAAAAATGATGGGAAATAAAATATGAGCTTTTTCCTAATAAAAAAATGGGAAAAAAAATATTAGATTTTTTTCCTAAATAAAAGAGTGTGGCGTTACATTGGGAAATGAAATATTAGATTTTTTTCATAATAAAAAATGATGGGAAATAAAATATGAGCTTTTTTCATAATAAAAAAACAAATCCTGGACTCTCCTGTCCTGTTTTTTCTGGTCCAGGAGAGCTTTGGCCGCCAGTTGGTTGCTGCAGTAGCCTTTGTA